CTTTTTTTGTATCGAAAAAATATCGAACCGTGAGACTAAATTATCGAACTGAACCGAATCGTGAATGTTCTGTATCGTTAAGCTTCTCCATTCATTAAGAATCATCTGGCTCAGTTTTAAATATCATAAAAATGTGCATCATCTGATTTTGGGGATTGTTTGTAAAGTAAACAACTGAGAATAATCTCGGTTAAGATGTTGGCTGACACCGCTATAAGTCATGCCAGGAATTTTATTTATGCATCTATTTTCAGGTCTCTAAAGACAAACTCAGACAGTCCTCGTGTTTGGCAGCAGAAAACATCGAGTCCCAATCAGGTGGTTGAAAATAACCTCGAACTTCTCCAGTGTCGAATGTGCACATGTGTACTGGTTTCTTTTTTTTTTTTAAATTTTCTTCTCTTCCCTGGTCATTGCTTGTCTAACTGGAGGATATGAACTCTTCTGTTTATTCTCAGTGTTTGTACGGGGCTGTGTCTGGACTTGACTCTGAGATACTGGAGCCTTCAGCAGTCTTAGCTCCCTGGGAGCAGAAATACTCAGCTCTTTGCTGCTTCATAACTTTGTAGGCTAAAGGTTTTTTCTGTCAGCAGCCTGTCTAAGCAGTCTCTGGCATTAACTTACAAATGCCAAGACTCCGACTTAACTGTGTCTTAGTGTGACACAGCAAACTGTTACATTTCATTATGGTAACTTTTTTTCTTTAAATCTGTAACACATCTGATTATGCAAGAAGTAAAATATGTAATCAGAAAAGCTCTTAAGTTACTTTTTTTAAATGTATCAGATTTATAAACTACATTTTAAACACCTAATGTCCAAGTTCAGCTCATGAGATAAACTTGTTGTGGTGCTTTTTGTTAGTTTCAAAGTGAAAACACCAAATTACAACTTAAAAATGTATAATAAATTTGAACACATATCTAGTTTTGCGTGACAGATTTGCGTTCACTGCATTGACGTCATCGTTTGTCTTCTCTCCCAGGTTGTGCGTTCTCGTCCAAGATGGCTGCGGGATCTTCAGCGTGGTCCAGCTCCAGCCTCTGACCTGCRGGGACGAGCTCCACCGGTTCTGCCAGCTGTGGCAGGGGAGGACCTGTGTGCTGAAAGGCATTAAAGTGGTGCAGCGGGTCACCAGAGAAAGGTGACACTCACATTCTCCTTTATCCACTCCTCAGCGTTGCTTTTTGTCAGATTTTGGAGTTCATCAAGTTCAGCCTGTCAGCAGCAGCAACTTGCAGAACGGTTTTCTGCTAAATGTGACGTTGGCTCATTAGCCATCTGGGATAACAGCCTCGGGTAAACGTCTGCTTGATAGATGATGATGAGTGTCCTGAAGAAGCCTCAAATCCTCATCTTAAACCTACATATCTGCTCAGTGATGTTTTGTTAAATCATTGAGTTACTTTTTTATATAAACACCCTTATTTACAACACAATGAGAACTTGATATTTGCTGCTCACATGAACCTGATTATGCTGTCCTGCCAGCAGTGTGACTGTGTTTACATGTAAAGTGATACCGAGGTACACACTCTATGTTCCTCGTGAGTTTCCATAATCGAGATCCAGGATTAGCTGCAGTTAGTAGAACTGACATGAGATCATTCAGAAGCTGGCAGGAGTATGTTTACATCCTTCCTATCTTCAATACCACTGCTGTCTATGATTTTTTTTTCTTGGTTATCTGTGGTTGCAGTGTGATGGGAGGGCTATATCCAGGGCTTTCACATGGGCCAGCGTAGGAGCTAAAGACACACACACATAGGGTTGTGTGAGTTCAAACAAGCATATTTGAATTTTCAAAAGATTAATCTTTCCTAGAAATCCACACTATAAAGAAATGGCTTGTCTTGTCACAGTTGCCTTCATTTCTCTTTGAGAGTTAACAAAGATTGACACTTTTCAGATATCTGTCTGATAAAAATGAAGCAGCAAACAGCAGCCGTTTATCTTTGTTTACCATAAAGACTAGACACAAAAATAAACAGCTACTCTGGTTCTGTGTAAAGTTAGGGAGAAAAACCACTCGCACACATCTCCAGGGCCTTGTCTCGTTTATAGTTAGTCAGAATTAGAAGTCTAAATTTATATATGTTCGAAGACATACTGTCCTTCCACATACATTAGATGAAGAGGTGTCTGTGGGGTGGTGATGCTTTTGGAAACTTCCAACCACACACTTAACATAAAGCACACACAGACCTTATAGCCATCCTACAGTCATCATCCTCTCACACATATGCTGCTTTCAGTTATTCTTACAGATAATAAATGTTTGTTTCATGTCAAGGTGCCGCTGTCCTTAACTCTGGGTAAGCTTGCTTCTCATCTGCTTCCACAAAGATCCAAAAATCAGCCACTGTTTCCTTTTGCTCTGCTGTGAGCTCTACCTAATGTCCAGTAAAACAGGTTTGTATTGTGTCAAGGTTAGTGCTCAATGCTTTTCAATAAAATAAGATTAGAACATTGAGGGTGAATTGTGACCTGACAGCGTCAGCTATTTATAATATCGAAATCTAAAATCTGAATCAGCAGGTCAGACTTTCTAGTGATCGGCCAGAAAACTGCAATCAGTGCACCCCTAGTTTCATGTGTGAATTATCCGACTGGTGCTTTTTTCTTATGAAAATCTGACCACATCAGACCATTAGTTTCCACACAAAAGAAGTATCAAAAGTTGTAGTTAGCTTAGTTTTTAGGTTATTTTTACGGTGTGACMAAAGCAGCTACAGCTCCGTCATTTCTCTACATAAGATGATTGTAGTTTATATATCTGGGATGAAAGGCAGTGAGAGATAAGGATTCCTTAATGARGCCTATAGTATTTTATGAGTCTTAACTAAATGAATGATTTTATATTTTGAGCTATCACCGCATAAGTTTGAACTAGGGGTGCACCGACTGCAGTTTTCTGGCCATCTTTAAAGGGGCAATATCATGTAAAATCAACTTTTTTTAGTTTTATATCATGTTATAATGTTATACTCTCAT